CGAAGAATAATTGCCTTAGTACGTAACGTAACGTTATTCGTGTTCTTATATCTCTCACAATTTTTAGTTTTATTTTTTTTAATTCCATTCCATGTTAAATACAACAACAAAAAATTATTTTACTCTTACTTAACTCATTTAAAATATATCGCTTCCTTTTGCTTTTTATTTTTGTTTATGGTAGTAAAGCAAAAAAACAAAAAAAATATTACTACCCTTTTTTTATTCTCTTTCGCTTTTCGCTTTTCATTTTTTGTTTTTGTTTTACAGTATGTATAATCAATTGAGTAATGCTTCTACCCAGTATTCTCTTTTGCTATTTTCATTTTTTTGTTTTTGTTATTTATTAGATTATATGTATACCTGTTCATGAACTGGAAAAATCTTGTAAAATATAATATAGATAATATGTAAATTATAATTTTTTTTATTTTAATAGTCGAATTTTGCTTTTAAACAGCTTCGTTTTTGTAATATTAACACACCTTTTTTTGCCACCATGTACTGAAATAAGTTACAGAAATAAAACTCCCGCTTTTACACTACACTTTATATTCGAAAAATAAATAACTCCTGCTCTTAAAAATACATTATAAAAAACAGGCAGACATCTATTGCGTACTCTTTCCCTCTTCCAAAAGTTCTTATGTGTATAAAAATGAAAATAAGAAGGTACACTGCTTAACTCTTTTAACTAAAGTAATTTTTTGTATACAAACACAGACATCTTTATCCTTAAGACTCCGTAATACACAATTTACTAATACATACGGTGTATTCAAAATTGGTCATTATACTTTTTGTTAAGAAATATATTCTTATATTAGGTATTTTCGAATAAATTTGAAATGTTCGTGGTGATTTGGGATGTTCGAAAAATAAAAAACGATTGAATACAAAAATATGCAGAAATTATTTTATTTGGTTTAAATTTTAACAAAATTAAATTTCTTGTTCTTTCAAGCAAGTTAGTTACAACAAGTAACAAATAACATTATAATAAATTACAGGTAACAAAATATTTTTTGTAGCTAACATAAAATACATAACAAAATTGTTTTTAAATAAACTACATAACATATTTACACAAAAAAAATAAAATTTTTAATAAATTTTTCTTAAAACTAGTAAATTTTGTAACAAAAATGTATTCAACTAATTTCACAAAATTTTTTAATTTTCTTTTATTAGAGATTAAATGACATACCTATTTAAATTGTTCAAATCTCAACATTACTACGTAATTGATTAAATTATATTTGCCATAGGCAAAAAAATAGAATTTAAAGTTCTTACAAATTAAAAATACTTCGGTGTCGTCGAATTCGTTTTTCCTAATGCTTGTATTCATTTATCCCTGATGACCTTGTTCTTTGGTAAAATAAATGTAAATATAGAATTCGTGTTCTCCTTATCTCGTAGAATATTGCTTCTGCATCCTTCTCCGCAACACCCTCGGGGCATTTATATGACACAACACCTATTTATAGGAACGTAATCAAATATATTATTATATTTTATTTAAATATAATTACAATAGAAACTTTAAAAAGTACATCGAATCTTACTAATTTATTAAGTCATTTTTTTCTTTTCAAATAAATTTTAGTATTATTCTTTCAAAAGCACCTTTATTTTATACTAAATATTATGAACCAAAGACAAAATTTAATTAATATAAATTATTAATCTTCGATTAATTTAATGACACAAATAATAAATATTCATTAAATTTTCAATAAATTTATGAATTATGAATGGAATTATTTTTTATGAAATGCTACTGGATAACGAATGACTTAAAAATTAACACTGTGTCTAATTCAAAATTTCGCTCCATATTTTGAAAAATAAAAAATTTGTTGTTATCAAAAAATTAGTTTTTGTTTTTTTTCTATTTGAGTTATTTTGATAAATATTTTTAAACACAATGGCCTGAAAATGTCAAAAGTGGCGTATTGGCCAATAAAATTCCTGAAGTAATTCTTAAAAAAAGACTAAAAACTGTAGTACTTTCAAAATTTTTAAAATTTTGACCGTTTTTTACTTATTTCAGGCAAGCAATAGCATGCACACATAGCAATATATCCACATACAGTTAAAGGTACACTAGGTACAATATAAGGAAATATCAATAAGTACATACAACTGACATATACACTTTGAAAAGCAGAATAACTACATACATAATGTATGTTTGTGTATACATAATACAGATAGTATATGCATTTTATACTTAATGAACATTTGCCTACACAATTGTATAGCCTGTAATCAGTGTTCCCGTTATGACACCTTTGGGCAAAAATTTGCACTTTTTCTTGTGCACCTCTTCTTTTTCTTAAACTATTTTTTTAAATTGGGAAATTTTTTTTTAATGTCAAAAAAAAATTTATACTATTATATTTACCTAACAAATATGTATTACAAAACTGATTTTTGCCATTCTTACAAATAAGTTTTTAGAACCATGTAACATATCAACATAAGCGACGCGTTATATTTCGCTTTAATTCTGCATTGTTTACATGATTTATATTACGTTTATGACTTATGAGTCGACATTTTTGATTTGAATTTTGATTTAATTTAAATATGTATGTACCTGGCGCTGGCTGATTGACTTTCCAAAACTAAAGTTTGTTTCTTTTATAAATGAGGGGCTCAGAAGCAGGTGGCATATGCCACATTCACATTATTTTGCAGAAATTTTAAAGAGCCAGCAAAATCAGTATTACAGTTGTATTGACTTAAAACAATATGTTGTTATTCTCAGTTTTTTTCGTACTTTAGCTGGTTTACTACTATTTTACTCCAATTTTAAAAAAATCCGGTTTTTTTGTGGGTTATGCCACTTCGGCATTACATATAAATGAAAATGTTAAAAAATTTGTGGGTTAATCCAAATGGTTTTTTTATAATATTATATATATTTTTTATGATAATATTACAAAATTAAATGTTATTCTTAAAAATAATACATTAATATAAAAATGGCATTTAAAAATTATTTCATTAGTCATTTTTCAAATGTGTACACATGAAATATAAGCTTTCTATCTTCAAGGGTGTAGAAGTTTTGTTAACAGACACACAGACGGATGGACTGACATACTGATGGAGGTACGGACAGGTAGAATGAAACTAATAAGAAATTCTTAAACGTTAACTTAAGAAACAACTTAAGTTGAGTCAAACAGCGCTGCCAAATTAGACTCTAATAAATGGTACAGGAAACCCAAAATCATGGTATAACATAGAAAAAAATTTTACAAAAATTTTTATTGTGGGTTATGCCACTTTGCTTTTGAAAAATCAGAAAATTTTTACAAAAACAAAAGTACTTTTGTGAAAAATAAATAGGAAAAAAACTATTTCGAAACTAGAAACTAATATCACTGATTCTAGAAGATGTACATAACTAATTGCAGCAAAAAAAATTTTCTTTAATTTGTGGCTTACGCCGCTCTGCTTCTAAGCCTCTCAAATATGAAAAGACAAAGTAAATTGTAATTTTTTTTACGAGATAGAATATTCTTCAAAAATTTTTAAGTTTTCAGTTTCAAAAAAAATAAAGAAAATTCGATATTCTATACTAAAAACAACAATATTTTTGAAGTATATTCTATCGCGTCTCGTCATACCTCTTACAGAAAGTGGATGATAATCTTTGAATAATTTTTTGAAAATAAGTTTTTCTGAAAATAATTGCATTATTTTTTTTTTTTTTTTAAAATTAAAATAAAGAAAATATTAATATTATATTTAACTCGGCTTAACCTCACAAAGTTATTGCAAAAGTAAAATATTGGCACTTTTTTTTGGAAATTGCACTTTTTTTGCACCTTTTAAAATTTCTCAACGGGAAAACTGTCTGTACATTTTTTTTTAAAATTCTTAGTAAAAAGCAAAAAAAAAAGAGATTATTTATTATACTCACAGAGATTATTTATATACTTATAACTGATAGGGGGTAAATTATTTTTGTTAGTGTTTTTACATTAATTCTTTGAAAACATTTTTTTTTGTTCGTGTTATGTCTTTGATACAATATAATACACCATACAAAAACTTTAGATTGGGAGAAAAAGAAAAACTGTAGTTATTATTCTTAATGATTTTAAGAATAACTTTCTGTTCTTTTTTTCTTTATTGTTTTACTGTATATCTAGTAAGATTTTAAAAAAAAAAATAATATCATAATTTTAATAGATGGGTCCTGGTGCGAATGGAAAAGCGTAAATTTTTCATACAAGAAAAATTTAAATTAGATTGATAACTTGATTAGGTATCTATATTAGGCAACGAAAACTGTCAACTATAATATGTATGTAATTCTCTTATTATCATGTGCTTTTGTATAAATTTGGTTAATTTAAGTAAGGGTTAGTATTGCAATATAGCTTTTGGTTATGCGATAGCTTCCGTTACATTGTGAAAAGGCTCGATTCAGTTTTCTGTGAAAAAAATTGGAATTCGAAAATTACAATTTGAAGAGATAATAATTTCCGAAGGAGAACATTTCAAAGAAAGTTTGTTATGCTAATAAAAATATTTATCGATGTTAACAAAACCAAAATTTCAAACTGTTCATAGTTACCGTGTAGCATTAACTTTGTTGCGAAAATCACCGAAAAATCAGTCTGAGATAATGATTAATTTGTAATGTCAGCTCTATAGTTTGATAATATTTATAGTTTTTATCAGAAATGTAATTTTTGAGATTTCTATTTTGCAGAGTTTTCAAATTGCTTTAGAATTAAACAGAATAATTTATAAAATACTTTAATTTTCACAACTTAAACTGTATAACTAGCATAGAGATTGTGTTAAGAAAGAAAGACCTTTAGTATATACAATTATATAATAATTAATTAATGTATATACATAATTCATATATTTTATTTTTATTTATTTTAATTTTATAAATAATAATCGATAATTAAATAACTATATAATTTAGAAAAAATTCTATTAAATTATTCTTATTTTTCATATAGGGATCATTAATTCCTGCAGCATTCACGAATGGATATCATTGAAAAAAATGCAATTATTGGTGTGTCAACCACAAAAGCCATAATAATTTGTGTTAGTGTTTTATACACAAATTTAATATAGAACAAATATAATTGTTACACATGCATTAAATAGTTGAAATTCATACATAAAACCAAAAAAATTAATAAGTTGTATAAGATTAATTTAAATCAATTATGTTAAGAAAGTTTGTCATTACAATGTTTGTTTTTGTTTTTTTTTTCATTTTGTTTTTTAATTGATAATATTCTCTGAAAATGGAATTTTCAAAATATTATATACATATTTTAAAAATATATTATAATTATACATCACAGAAATAAAATAACAAAAGTATTATATGAAAATGTTATTTATACTGCAAAATAACAAAAAAAAATTTTATATAAAAAAACTAAATTAGAAATTTTAGCAAAACTATTTAATAAGCATAGAAATTAAAAAAAAAACATCCACAAAACACAATAATTAAAAAAAAATAAAAAGGAAAGTACACTCAAGGTAAATTTATATACATACATAGTTAAAAATTAAATATTAATTAAAATATTAAAACAATCTTTGAAAAAAATAATAATGTTTTTTGAAAATTAATATTAATGCTATTATATAATGACAACAAACACGTATATGAAAAAAAAATTAAAACAAAATACATATAAATAATTAAATACACATAATGAATGTAAGTACATATTATATGTATGTATTATCAAACCTAATAAAAAAATATTTAATAAGCTAGTCACAAAAAAAATAAAATCAAAAAACAGAACAACACGCAGACTAAATAAAAAAAGAATTTATACAAGAAGACATTAAGATTCTTAACATTTTGAAAAAGAACACAAAAAAAAGAAAAGAAAAAGATAAACAAATATATATATATACATACATGCATTCATAATAAAAAACTTTTAAATCATAAGATTTATAAAAAGTATAAAGTTGTAAATATTTGACAAATTAATAAATGTATGTATATTCAAACATATGTATATACATACAAATTTAGCTATATTTGTTACTTAGGTATATATGAAATAAAATAATAGTAATAATAATAATATAATATAATAAAAATACATGTTTAATAAAACACACCTTAGCTGTTAAAGAACTTCTACAAACAAAGTGAATAAAATTAAACAGCAGAGAATTTATAATTCAAAATTAAACTTGCAATAGTAAATTAATTTGTAGTTTATATATAAATACATATATATATAATACATACCTATATATGTATATATACAACATCTATTTAATTTACCAACATTATACTTGTAACATTATTAATATTTTACAAAAAAAACAACTACTTGAGTAAAATGGGGAAACAAAAAAAAATTAATACGTGTATGCATTAATAATAAAAAAAATACCTTAATACATTTGTATCAATTATATATACATACTTATATTTACATTGGTGTACTGCAAATCAGTAAATATTAAGTTTAATTATTAATTAAAAAAAAGAAAATAGTATAAACTAAAAAAAATTAGTTAATAGGAGCGAACGCAATTGTATGACATATTTGAAATGTAAACTTATGAAGTTTTTTCTTTTGAAAAAAATAAAAAAAAAATGAAACCAATAAAATACTCATGATTCTGAAGATAAAAATCTTCATGATTAAATTTTAGAATTCATTATATATATATAATAAAAAATATTTATATAAAAAAATAAATATTCTTATATATGAGATACATATACATGTAACGTATGTGAGCATATGTATAAATATATAGATATAAAAAAAATTTGTAGTAATTATAAATAAGAATTTCTGTACATAAATATTATTTACTACATTGTCATTGATTTTAGTAAAAATAAAAAATGAAAAAAAAATAAAAATGAATAAATAAATGAATAAATAAATAAATAAACGATAAAACGAAATGTAAATTTAAGAAATTTAAAGTTTGTGTCAAATTAAAAATAAAAAAAATCCAAAAAGATTTTGCCTATAATGTATAGTCAAATATTTTTTTCTTAATTTAAATCCTTAAGTAAATACAATAAATTAAATAAATTTCTTTCCATTTTATTTTATTAACACTCATTAACTGCGCATATATTGTGCGTATCCCTATCGCACTTCTAAAAACAAAGAAAAAAAATAGTTGAAACATTCTAAAAATTCTAATAAATTTTTAACATAATCATTAACTTGAACTAATAACATAATTTTTTATTAATTTAAGTTTATGAAACAGAAATTTTTAATTTCTGAAAATAATATATCCACAATAGTTCAATTTTCAAAATTCATATATACATATATTTAAATATATGCATAAGTTAGTGATGCAATTGAATATGAGGAACATATACATACATATATCTTTTTATGTTTATGTATGCATATGTGTACGTTTTATTTATAAAAATTTTTAGTCAAAAGCTTCAGAAATTAAAAATGTGATGTAAGTATGTAAAAAAAATTTTCTAGATTTAAATCTTAAAAAGATAAATTAAAAAAAAAAAATGTCAAATGAAGTTTATTTACAAAAAACACAATAAAAATTCACACATAAGTTCTAAATTCCTAACTATATAGCAATAAAAATAATACTGATTAAGGAACGAATTAAATAAATAGAATAAATAAAAAAAACAATTCTAAAATTCCATATATTCTATTAAACAATAAGTAAATTAAAAATTTGAAAAACAATTATAAAATTTCATAAAAATTATTTGAGTACAAGTTAAATTTATGTATATGTGGATATGTACACAGATATGTTGATGCACTCACAATAAAATCAAAAAAAAAATCACATACACAACCATATAAGTAAAAAACATTCTTGAGAGACCTGTGTACTCACATGGGTATTCTTTCGGAATTACTTTTTATTATATTGGAAGTTAGTTTTTCCATACCATTACATCTAATTTTTGTGTAAAAATTTTAAGAATTTTTAAGGGGCGAGGATCTCTTGATAAATTTTTTCTTAAATCAAGTAAAATTTATAAAATGCATGTACAGTGCGTCTGGAGATATGTTTGACAATTTTATTGCTGATTCACATTTTCCATTGACTAGAAAAAAAGTCTGAAATCTCGCTGGAACCTTTCGAACAATATCCGTCATTATCAAATTTTACAACTTTCAATTATAGTATCACACGGCTTAGACGGGCTTAAAATTTGGTATAACTTTCGAACCGAAAAAACCGTTTTCTAAAATCATCGCGAAACGCAAAGCTGTACATCTTTGTGATGTACAGTAACAAAAAAATTTGAGCTCTTTTTGTAAATACATAAGTAAAGTATAAAAACAAAAAAAAAAGAAAATATATCAGAAATCTCGTATGCAATGTTGACATTTCAAAAGCAATTAAATAACAAATGAGCTCTATTGTGCTCATTTTTAAAATCAGAGCTCTTAGATTATAAAATTTTTCAACATTTTTCAAACTGAGAACTCTGAATCTGATTCTCTAACGAAATCTCTATTTTGTAAATTTGAAAATATAAAAATATTGAAGTCATTTAGTTTTTTAAAAACATAACTAGTGAAATTCAAATATTTTTTATCCCATTATATAATTTTGTTTTTCATATCAATGAAATAATTTAAGTAGACGATTGTTTTTTAAGTAAGTATTTTTCAATTATTCAAGGCAAAACCGCTATGTCATAATTGTTGCTATGAGTTTTGTTTTCAAAAAAAGAGGGATAGGAATATATTACAAATATTTTTTTAGTAGAATTTTCAACAATTTATGAAAAGGCATTTTGTCTATTTAATAATGGTTTTAATTTTTCCTAAAAATCTAAATTTATATAAAAGGCTTTAGGTCTATATTGTTATAAACAAATAATTTACACCTGTTTTTTGTTTTCTAAGACTTTTTCTTTTATTACTCAAAATAGCACACAATCACATAAATTTGTTTAATAATGGCATTATTCGATGAAATTATTTTTCAGAAATTTATTAACAAAATTACATTTTATAATTTAACATCGAAATTATGATTACCACCCTTTTTATTTATTTGAAGTTTCGTTACTTTATAAATTATAGCATTACTAATTATGTATATAAAAAAGTATTTTATACACATACATTTACAATTATTGAGTAATATGTTTTTTATTAAATACATCTTTTGTTTACAATTTACTCGTAAGAATTAAAACATTTTCAAGAATTACTTCAAAAATGAAAGTCATATTTCCAAAAAACAAAAAAAATGTGTTTCTGTAATTAAACATTAAACGTACAAAAAAGAAAAAAATAAAAAACACAACTATAATTTAAAAAAAACTAGTATGAATAAAACTACAGTAAAAAAACTAACTTTATGCAAATGTAATAAAAAAAATGTGAATAATAATAAATTATTATATACAATTTACTCTCAATCGTCTCACTTAATTAGTGGTTTTTTTTTTCCTATTGCCTTCATCAAATTAAGATGAAAAACATTAGCAAAAGACATTAATTTGTTCTATCTGCTGTTTCGGAGCTTTATTCATTTTTTTTTATTTTTCCAAGTTATTTCCGTTTATGCAGAAATTTGAAATAACTAATGATATTTTTATCTATGATCATTGAAATATCCATGTAAGTTATTAAACTCAAATTGTTTTTAATATTCCTATATAAATAAAACAAAAAAGCTTGTTTTCACTCCGAAATTTTTAGTTTAAATTACAAAATTTGGAATTTTCAAAAGTTTGATACCAGCTTGCCAGCATAGTTATTATGCCAACAGCAAAAAATTAAAAAAAAACAAAATTAAAAGAAAATAAAACACAAACTCTACTTTTTTGAATAAAAATTAAAAAAAGAAAATAATAAATATATGTGTATATCCAAAAAATATTAAAATATATTCATATACATACGTATATAAATATATATAAATATATGTAGGTATATATATTATTAACAGATACATAATTGATATATTATATAAATATATGAAATTATAAATATACATATATATTTCAACTTTTTAAAAAAGAACTATTTATATAATTATAAGTAAAAAAACCTTATAGGAGAAATGCAATAATATTGTCTTTTTATATATAAAAAAATATAAAATACACATTTTTAAAAACTTAAAAGAAAATTTGTGTAGATAAAATTAAAAAAAAATGAACCAAAAAATTATCTTCATAACACTCTTTTGAACAAAAACAAAAAGAAAATTAAAAAACATCATTTTACAACAAAAATATTATTTATTACTGATAAAAATTATTATAAAAAAAAATCATAAAAAAATATTATGAAATTGTTTTACTTTTAAGAAATCCAATAAAGATAAATTTATCTTTATTTTAAAAAAATTAGTAGAAAAAATTTTGTAGATTATAAAAGAGAAAAAAAAATTGAAAAAATAAAATTGTTGGATAAGAACAATTGTTGTATATACATATATAGAAAAATAAATATTAGATAAGCAAAGATATTTATATATAAACAGAATGTTTATGAAATTTAGTGTATAAGGAAAATATACATTCTTTTCGTAATGATAATATTTATTAAAACAAAACACACACACACACACAAAATAAATAATAATATTGTCAAAAAAATTAAAAAAAAACGTACTTTACATAATTTATTTTAAATTATGTGTAAAATTATAAGAAAAAAGAAAAAAAAAATATTAAAAACTTTATTTAAAAAAAAAAAAATTTTCGAAAAACACAAAAATTATTGAAAGAAAAAAAACGTAATTATTTACAATATATGGCAACAATATGCGTTAAAAATAAAAGTATTAGAAAAAAGGAATTAAAAAATAACTATAAGTAAAGAAAAAATTAAAAATGTGTAAGAATTACTTCAAAAATGAAAGTCATATTTCTAAGAAGCAAAAGAAAAATGTGTTTTTGTAATTATACATTAAACGTACAAAAAAGAAAAAAAATATAAAAAATAACTATAATTAAAAAAAACTAGTATGAAGAAAACTACAGTAAAAAAATAACTTTATGCAAATGTAATAAAAAAATGTGATCAATAATACATTATTATATACATATAATCATTTATATTTACATATGGTACCAATATGTAATGAAATGCATATACTCGTAAGGGATATTTTATTGTAGTTATATATTATACACATGCATATATATGTATGTTATATATATATATTGTATAAATATATATAATATAAATAATTTTATGAAACATGAGGCATGAAAAATCGAGGAATTTGTATACATATACCACTCTGAAATGATTTTTAAGCGCAATATTAGTTTAGATTTTGTAATTAAATCAATAACGCACTGGAAAAATAATAGCTTGAATTTATATACATACATTAAAATAGAAAAAGCATATTACTCGTAGAATCCATGGACATACTTGCATTATATGTACATTGTTGTAAGAATAACTAAGAAAAATGACACCAAGATATAATAATATTTGATGAATTACTTTGGATTCCTATATATGGTTAATATGGTTTACTATGGGCAAACATCACTATATTCCTAACAGGTTTTTTTACGAAAATTTTTAAAAAGTTACGAAAAAAGTGAAAAACTATACTATGTATGAAGATTAGAAATCGAATTTAAATTAATTTTAAAATTTAATTTGATTGGTTACTCGTACAAAATATCGTTTATTTTAATTAAAAACAAAACCATTGGAAGAAATTTTTAAAATTAATTATTATGTATGATAAAATTATAGAAATTATTTATATTGCGTAACACTTCAAGAGTAAAATTGTAATACAATTCACACAGTTTCCAAATCTATCACACACGCTTTTTGAGCTTGTCCTTTCTGAAATGTCACACTATTTTACATACATTTTCCGCACATTTTTATATCAAATTGTTACAGTACATACTTTATTTTCCTCTACAAATACAGCTTTTATAAAAGTAAGTAGGATTTTTTTGTAATAAAATACACAATTTTTTTTAAATAAAATTAAACATAAAATTGAATGTTGTTTTGAATAACAGTTTTACTTTAAATTTAATGCAAAGTGCGACAATTTATAAGGATTTAAAATTCCCAAATTTTTAAAGGATAATTTAGTGCGAAATGTAACGTGTTCCAGAAACACTTAGTCCGATACACTAGTAATAGACAATGCAACATGAAAAAAAAATAGTCGGATACATTAGTATTACATTGAGGAATACAATAGGTGCGGAAAGAGCTTGAGAATCGTAATGAAAAATGAAAATAGAAGATAATTTTCGTTACTTCTTTATTTCTTATTTATTTCTTTGTATCCTAAACTAACTCAATATATTTGATACAAAAGCAATATGAAGCAATATGTTATATTGAACTATATAATTAAAAAAAGTACAAGATACTTTTTCTAATTATTGTGCGTTATAGGTACTACATTATAGCTTTTTTTTAATTAAAAATATTCAACAACAAAAAAATTCGCTAAAACATTTTTTTTTTAAGTTTTGTATAGTAATTTATGAAAAATCTACTAAATTGCAAGGCATTTTAGCATAATTACAATAAATTGTATTGTTTAAAAAGTCATGTTTACGTTATGTCTGCATTTTGGTATATATAACTTCAATAATATATATAACTTTAAAACTGAGATCTCTGTTAAACTTGAAAATGTCTGGTATTATGCCCTCCTGTATATGTATATATGGAAGCCATAAATATGTATCGAATTTAAGTGCGTGTTTGTTTTAGTTACAAATATTATGCTTCCAAAAAATGTTATATAAACACATATGTATATGTATATGAATATAGAAAGAAATTTTAAGAGCGCACAATATTTTTAAAATTGTATTGGAAAGTAACTAAATTTTATATAATAATATTAGCTATATTATATATATATATATATATATATATATATTATGTAAAAAATATATTATATAATATTATATAATATTATATTATATAATATAGTTATATAATAATATTATATAATAATAGATATAACTATAATATTAAAAGAAGTAAAGGCAAAGAGACACATCTTTTAATTTAGGGTTACGGAAAATTGTTACCATAATACTTTGTATGATACCTCCTACAGAAACAATATTTAAATACAAATAATATAAGTATTTTGATGTGTGTATATATTTTTACAATTTTTATATGTATATATATAGCGGTGTGTAATATCATGTGGAAAAGCAATTTAGGTACACATATTATAAATATACATATAAACATCATTGCGTATAATTCAAATTGGAATAACTGTTCAACAATTTTAATTCAACAATTTTATAAAATATCTTGTTTTCATAAAGTTTTCTTGAGT